CAAAGTTAGTACTCTGTAGGAAAAGGTTAATTCTCTAGGCGAATGGGATTACAATTCAATATTTATCCGACTTAGACAACTGAAACGTGCTTAGTAATGATTTACAAGACAATTCATTGGTGGCTAGATGTTAGGACTTGAAATCAGTTACAAAAGTGTGAAGGAATTCATTTTCACTCTTTCATAAATCAAAAAAAGTTTTATATCTCTTGTCTTAACTTGTTTCTTTTGTCTCCGTTCACTGATGAACTCTGAAATCATCCTTTTTATTGCATTTTTTTTCTTGTTGTTGGTTGTTTTCTTGTATTTTCTGTTTATTACACTAGAAAACTTTGTATTGATTCATTATTGTATCAAGTTTTATGCTACTTTTTACTCCTCTGTTTTTGTAATCTAACTGAAATGGTTAACAGGAGTTACAATAGTAGTGGTTGCATACTATATTATATGATAATAATTCTATTTCACTGGCTAATAACTTTTCAAGTTATTATTTACAATTAATGCAAAATAAAAGATACTTTTGTCATTAGACAGAGGAATTTCAAGGTTAAAGTCGATTACTTGGGTGTAAACCAAATATAAGCATATGACGCCACTCTTTATTACACCAAATTGCTATACTGAACTTTAAATTTGAGTACAATGACTGGCTAATAGGATTCTACGGAAGATGCATTAAGTGGTGTGCATTACTGATCTCAAAACAAATTACTGATAAATACTATCCTTTTGTTAGTTTTACCAGCTATTTAATATATACTTGATAGTAACAACCTTGTCAAACTCCCAAAAAAGGGCGACCTAAGTGTTTGCAAGAACTGGTGAGGAATCATGCTCCTGTCCACCCCAAGCAAAATATTAAGCCGCATCATCCTGGAGAGACTAAAGGATGCGCTGGATTCAAAACTACTACCCGAATAGGCTGGATTCAGGAAGAACAAATCATGTGCGGACCAAAATGCAACGCTACTCTACGCATCACCATGGAACAGAGTATAGAATGGCAGTCAACCCTCTACCTCAACTTCATCGACTTTGGAAAGGCCCTCGATAGAGTCGACCAAGAGGTAATTTGGCAGCTGCTTCAACACTACGATTTTAGTGCTATAAACCTTTATCAATTTCATTCAACAACTATATAAAGACTCCACATGTCAGGTAATTCGAAATGGGAAGCTCAGTGACGCCTTTGAATTGAAGACTGGAGTAAAACAAGCTGTCTACTGTCACCCATGATATTCCTGATTGTGGTCGACTGGATCATGCAACAAGCAGTGAGGAGCGAGAAGAGGGGAATACGCTGGCTGGACCGCAGAAAAGATCCTAGAAGATTTGGATTTCGCCGATGACTTGTGTCTAATGTCTTGTAGCACAAAATTGAAGATCTAGAGGCGAAAACTAACAAGTTGGCAGAAGAGGCAGAGCAGCGAAAATGGGACTTTAAGTGAATGTATAGAAGACAGAGGTGATGAAGATACCTAACCAACACCACCAACAACAACAAGCTCCAATGACCATCAACGGGAGAAACCTAAAGGAAGTAGCCTCCTTCACCTATCTAGGAAGCACTGTTTCAACTACAGGCGGCACAGGTACAGACGAGGACGTCAAAGTCAGCCGGGATCGGAAAGCAAGACAGGCGTTCATCAACCCGAAACCAGTGTGGTGACCTAATGCACTCCACTCAGCATAAAGAACAGGATCCGAATTTTCAACACTAATTCAGTCAAGTCAATGCTTCTATATGGTTCAGAGACTTGGTGCGTTACGAAAGGCATTTCCAACAAACTACAGATATTCATCAACAACTGCCTACGCTGACCCGTTACTGAGGCTCAGATGACCAGAAAGAATAAGCAACAAGGAACTCTGGCTGGGTAACGATCCAACCAAGAACCTATCACTCAAGAAATATGCAGAAGAAGGAAGTGCAGATGGATTGGGCATGCACTGAGAAGATCATTCGGGGACATCACGCTCCAGGCTAGGCTGTCGAGTGGAACGCAGATGGGAAACGGCGAGTTGGGCGTCCGAGGTGAGAGTGACATGGAGGAGATGGTGTGAGGAAGAAATGAGAGCTTCTGGGCTGTCGTGGAGCCAGAGTGGAATGGAGACGTGCTAGTGAAGCCCTAATTTCCACTAGGGACCCAAGGGACAAATAATAATAATGATATTAACAATGATTTCTGCATTAATTATGCATCGTCGGTGAGTGACTAACTCAGAAGCACTACCCATTGCCTATGTGTGTGTGTGTGTGTGCGTGCTTCAACTCATAAAAGCTTTACTAAGCCGTAAAGTCTCGAAACTAGTTTCTATCAGCACATAGACTAACCCTTTTCATGTTTGTCAATCTAAACCCTTATAAACGTCAGACTGTTAACTTAAGCCTCAGGCGGTAAACAAGAATCGTGTGAGCTTCTTTGGTTTCATGAATTCTGTGGTATTTCTATAGAAAGCGAACTGATTGTTACCTATTCTGGATTGCGTTTCACTTCCGATCTTTGTTGGTCTTCGAATAGCTTGTTGACTTTCAGTAGAATCTTTCATTTGTCCTATTACAATACGAAGCTGAAACTTTGTGATATTACCCGGCCTCTCCTTTTACAATTTATTGATTCCTGAATTTTACGTATTCTTCTTTACTGGTCCCTGACAATCTTTTCTGGTCTACTAAAAAAGGACTAAGTTATGTTGCATAAGGATTTGAAAGCTGTCAGTAGGGCAAGTACTGTGTGTCTTATCCTACTGGTAAAGCTGTAGTTGAGAGACATTTCATGCAGGCAGGTAGCTACAGTCATTTTATCTGATACTCAGTATCAACTTTATTCTCACCTGTCTCCATGTATCACCTCAAGGAGGACAAGAAGGAATTATATAAAACTTTACGCTCGTACGGCTAACTATTAGAATCCAACTGTGTCTCACCTAGTATTCATCGTCTGTGAGGAAAAACGTCTTAGAACAGAACTCAACTATCAACCTTTGTAACAATAAGTTATCAGTCTTTCTAATAACTTAAGTATTGATGTGTAATTTCCTTTGTTATTAATATTATATAGATAATTTAAATTGGTATAATGGACGCTATTCGAAGTGTTGTAAAGGAACATATTTTTTGTTGGAATAGTATATGCTGAAAATTCCAAGTTGCATCAAAAATTAGGTCATTATTATTATTTATTGAAAAGAATGTTGTTTTAACTGCTACATTAATTATTTCAGTTTTTTTTTCCCGTTTAATTCATTTTTTACGTACAGCAACAGAAGTGTGTAACAATAGGTCGACTGAGTTGACCATTTAAGATTTCTAATGGTAAAAGCTTTTCAGATGGGTAACAAATCTGACACATTTTCTCAAGTGAATGTATTGGCAATCCACAGTAAAGAACCTCTTAGTCAAAATTACAGAATTCGACCATTGAAATGAGCTTAACAGTTTTTACTGAAACAGTATGAGTTACTGGATCGCCATAACACAGATATACAAACCTACCCAACTGGGTGACCATTGATATATGTTTTTGTAAATTTGAAGGTTATTTGTGTTTAAGTCATAATAACCTTGACGAATATAGATGATATTCAAAATGTTCACGCTGTCTGGAAGCGTCTTTTGTGAATATATTTCATAGTTCGCTAAAGAAGAAACAAAATTCTCTCACAACCATACGAACTGCACATTATTCTCACACCACACCTTTATTCATTTACTTCATTTTCTTATATGACTGTCGGAAAATTTCTCCAAGGCTTGCTTTCATTGGATATTCCATGACCTTCTTATTCCATTTTTTCATAATCAATTATCCATGAAGTTTCTTGTTTAGTATGTAACTCTATTTGTGTCTCAACATTCATTTGGTTTTCGATACTTTGTGTTGACCATAGTCAACAATCAGAATTCCTTTGCTTAACCACTGAAAACGGATAAACTTGAGGTGATGAATTTGCGAACTGTCTACAAATTACACAGTTCATATTAACCCTTTTCACTGTTGAGTAGTTTCTCAACTGCCCAGCAGTGGTACCAACTGAGTTTTCATTGGAAGCCACCCACCTAGATCGTTTTGATGTGGTTAGCAAAATCTAAGAAGCATCTTATGAAGGATTTCTAACTATTCATATTGTTCAGTAATATTTAACGCATTAGCATTTTGGATGACCAGTATAACTTCATTGATATTTTAAAATCTATGTTTATTTTCCCCGTATTCTTGTCAGGATCACTTCTTAAGTTCGACTGCATGTCAGTAGACCGGTACCTGTTGGTTCAAATGATGCTCTGGTCAACAGTTTTGTTGCAGCTCAAATCACTATACGCTGACTCAACATTTAGTTTAGAAAATTTCGGAAAATCGATTGATTATAAACGGCTTTTGTTACGGATCAGAATCACTTGCTGAACCAGTCGGAACTTAGGAGCAATGAACGGGTTTTTCGTTCTACATCGGGATTCCTCAGCGGTGTGCAGCCAAGACTGTAAAAAGGATGGAGCTTAGGACCCTCAGCTGTCACGGGGATCACCTTATCACTCGAAATCCAATGATGCATATTTCTGAACTGCTCTTAACTCGCTATGAGTTGCAACCATCGTCCAATGCTATCGATTAGTATTCATCCTCCCTCTCCGCTTAGATTCCGACCCAGCGACTGAGTGATAACATGCTTATCATGAATCAGCTTAAACAGTCTGATAAATACTGTAGATTATAGTTGAAATAAAAAACAAAAGACCGTTCTATATTGTAAGTCACTAACAATGAAAAGTACTGAACGAAACACTTCCAGATCTCAAGGTAGTCATATTAATAGTCAACTGCTCAGTCCTGATCCCATTGGTTGGCATTTCTCTAATTCGCATATTCCGACTACCGACGAATGCCTATGGTGACCATTTATCCTCATTCTCGACTTAGTCAGCTAGATAGCTTACAGTTTCACAAAGATTACTCATTAGTTTTTTGACTGGATGCTCCCAGTTAAAAAAATGAATCAACTCAATAAATATTTTGTTCAAAACATGTTAAAATATTGAACCTTTTTAAAAGTTCTTTCCTGGTGCTCAAAGAAAACATTGTAGTAAAACAGAAGCATTCTTGTATGAAACTAAGTGTTGATTGTCTTTAACTAAGAGATTAGTAAAGTTAGGATTAGACATAAGATGATCATAGCGAATAAAAATTTTCACGACGGGATCATTCTCTTAGCTGTCCACTCCTGAAGGCATTATGGGAAGGATAGGACATTCCAGAGTAATTTCTGATCGAAAGTCAATATAAGTCACATGCCAAAGGGAAGTTACGTAATTTCAATAGGCATTTAAAATGAGGAACCAAACAGATGACTATTAAAAAAATATTTCTGCGTCATAAGAGGACTGTTTAGGGTAGTCGATCTTCTACAATGACTATGAAAAAGGAAAAAGGTAACACGTTCAGCTTTCAACCATCCTTCTCAAATACATCATAGACGACTTAATAAACAGCTAGCTGTTGTTGTTCAGAAGTTAGAGAAGAAAGTCCTCAGCCCAAAAGCACTGGCTTCGATGAAACTACGATGCTGACTTCGGACTATTATCCCTGTTCAAAGAAACTTGATTGAAAATTTAGGATGTTTAAGGTGAAATTCGGACTCACAATCATATACATATTATGAATTTAAAATCTAATTTTAAAATGAACGGGTGACGATTAACTCTCCTCCATCCAGCTAACCTTGAAAAGAATCCTTTTGACTCAAATGTACACTGGTGATATTTGCTTACATTCATGGTGGGTTTGAGGTAGATAGAATGAATAAATATCTTTATTCTCAAGTTATGAATTCAACATGAGAGAAGCCAGTTTACAAGCCTCATCAAACTGATAATTGCAGAGAAACATAAAAGGTTTGAGCAGTTTTGAATGGTACATAGGGAGGATATTAAACTCTATCATGATATCAAATGTCTAAATGTTATGAAAATAGCAGGAAAATATCACTTTACAGTACATACATATCTTTCTGAGTTTAAATCATTCCTACTCACAATTCTTTTTCCACATCAAACGGTGCAATATTCAGTGTTTGCATTGTGAGTAGTCGATATGATTGACCCGTCTGCAAAACCTAGTGTTTCGTCAGATAAACGTCCATTTCAACAGTAATTCTTATGTTCGTAGCTCTATTGACCAACAATAACTTACTTCGATGATTTCAGGAATAAGTAAGTATCCATACAATCATTTAATCCAGGTGAATGTCTTAGTTCAGGCATTTCTCACTCTTCAAGTGTTATCTTTCCCAGCAATTCAGATTGGTAGTACTGAAAACATTTGTTGTGGTGCAGATAATTAAAGACTGGAAGAATCGTTGTTCAACAGTGGCGAATATTACACATATGTAACAGGCTATTGAGAGCATCGAGGTAACCAATAAAGAATATCACTGAAAAAGCCTGGGGTTCATGAAAAAACGAAAAAAAAGGCGAAATTCATATTGTACAATATAATTTTACAAAATGTCAGAAATAAGAGTCGTTTTTGAAGATCGCGTTTGAAATGAAATAATGTAAGGTAATTCAGCGAAGAAAAATTTTCTTTGTCAGAAATGTCATTTCCTAAAGTTGTACAATTGTGTTTACATGTCACAAACATAACAATCTTTTATTGGCCAATAAGGTGAGATCACTTTGTCAAACTTCTTGCCTTTCTGGTTATGTGCGTTGTCTGGTACTTTAATTGTGTAACCCCTTGCCACTCTTTATTTCAGTCTTAACACTGGCCTGATGATGCAGCTATGCCCTGTTGTTCAATAGCAGACTTTTATATACTTGTGATATACATATACACACGTTTGTACAGCTTTAGAGAAATATACTGAATTACCTCTTCTTTTCTGTGGCGTCCCTGACTGAAGCTCTGGGTGGCGCGGATTTGAATCCCAATGGGGAAATCGGTTCCTTCGGGGTTGCAGATACGTCTTCCTGAGGAGTGCCGAAAAGTAGGAAACGGAGGTCTAGGTTTTTCTGCCTGATTGCCTCCGTTAAACTAACACTCATACTTCAAGCTACTTCATCAACTGACGAATGAACCTTCAATCAACCCGCCGAATCCTGTTTTGTACCTGCTGGAGAATGCTAGCCTTTATGTCGCAAATTTATATTTAACCAGTATGCATAGGTAGAAGGTAGTGACTTCATACCGTCAAGTTATGAGTAACCAGTATCAAATAAATGCAGGACAAGACTTCGATAGTGGCTGGTGAGGATGAAAATCCTTTCTCTAAACACCATACAGTTAATCATGGTGCAAATAAGTGGTTTCGTTTTGGATAAATTCGCCAGTAGTCGATCAAAAAATTTTTCACTGAATCGTGGAGTTGATAAACAGGAAACTCTGCATATGCATATGTTGAAAGATGTGATTTAATGACTCCAGGTAACTGTTCATCCTCATGCGGACACCATAAAACTAGGTAGTTAAAGTTGTTTTCGCTGAAATATTTGAGCCAAATTTCTTTCAGACAATAACGGGTTATTTATATGATAAAGTTACAATACAGTAACCATCTTGGTGATTTGGTAATGGCGTTAATGCCCCATACCACTCAGTTGTACAAGTTACTTTATGAGGGATGTTTATCGTATGGCAAAGACGTTATATAAACTAATGAAAGACATTTATTTTTTTTCATACTGCCACAAGAGAAGAATAGTTTAACAAAGAAGACATTGTTTACTGTCAACATAAGTTAAAATTGTAGATTCTCTTTGGTTCTTAAAGTAATCAATAAACCCATGTTGGCAACACATGATTGGTTGTGATTAATAAACAAAGTACACAGTTATTCATTCGAAAATTCAAATATGTTAACATACATTGTTTGCTTAAAACGGCTAGAATCAATGAACTCGACGATTATTCACTTCAAGAGGAGTGTGTGTTCTCACATTTGAGTAGGCAATCTAATATTACTCTTACAGAAAATGTTTTTTGTGTATCACTGCGTTGTTTTTATCTAGTGGACTGTTGAAAATATTTCTCTTCTTATTGTCTTTATTATCTTAGTAATACACTGACTAATATTACTATTTACAGGTATTATTCATCACGGACTGATAACTGTTGGGGAATCATTGAAAACCTGGGAGCACTGGACAGGTTTTTTGTCCTAGTATGGGACTCCTCAGCAGTGTGCGTCCGGCTATGGATCGAACTCAGGATTTTCAAGTTTCATGGCGAACATGTTAACTACTTAACCACTGGGGCAGTTTTTAGTGGTTCATAGTTTCCAACTCCTGTCAGTTCATGCTATAGTGCAACTACCACCCAAGGTATTAAGATAGCATCCGCCTCACTTCCGACTGGTTGACCCCACAGCTCGGGAAACTGAACCACTGAAAACAGACCCAGTGACTGAGTGGTTAACGCGTTCGGCCTTGAAACCTAGAGGTCTTGAGTTCGACCCCTAGTTGGGTGATAGATGCATACTGCTGAGGAGTCCCATACTAGGACGAAACAGTTTTCCAGTTCTATCAGATTTTTAATGGTTCCCCAAATGATATCAGTCCATGATGAATACTACTTCTAAATTAAAATCACTATTCATCTCAAAAACACATTGATGATAATATTATTACATCAAAGAAAGAGAAAGACAGTTATTGATTAAACCATCCTTTTGTGCAAGAGTATATATTCACATTCAATCCTATATAGATTCACTGAATCAATCAATACAACTGAATATGCTTAACACGTTAATTTACAATTTAATTCTAAATTAATATAAGACAGCGTAATCAGTCACGTAAAAAATGAACACTGAATTCTAACTATTGATTATTCATATTATTGTTATTATTACCTTCATTTATGTTACTGAATGAAGAAAAAAAAAGCAACGACTCAAGTGGTTAAAAAAACGGCTATTAATAGCAGTTTTTACTTAACCTAGTTATTTTCCTGAAAACAGAGAAACAACAAACTGGTTTAGCACATGAGTGTGGTGATAAGATAGAGAAAGAGTGTGTGTGTGTGTGTGTAGTGAGGACTGCGTACACTGTCCATAAGTCTTATTGACGATAAACCTAATATGTTGTACTTGAATGGCAGTAGAGTGCTAGATTCCTATTACATCTCACTCCGATTATCGATTGATATTGTAGAATTCTCCCATGTGAATTAAGCAAATAATTACATGTGATTGTTTACACAACCTGTTTTTTTGTGTTCTCTACTAATATGACAATCATTACTAGTGTGTTTTTCTAAAGAAAACTTATTTATGGTGAATAAAGTAAGCTGAGGGTAATGCTATATTCGTTAAAAATAAATCATTATATTTCCATGTTATTATTCAGTGTGAATTGAAATGATGGAAAAGATTTATAGCTGAGAATGAGGATGATTGTGATTTGGTGTTCTCTAAGCTTTGATATTTATTTCATCATAAACGTTTCATCATCAGGTTTGGGGACATCCTTAGGACTAAATCCATAATGAAGTGAAACATATCCAAATGTTACACGAATGTTTAGACGGTGTTTTTATTGACCTTGAGTGTTATCCAATTGTAAGTTTGGGAAGAGATTTTTTATCGCAGTCTGACCTAAAATTCCATTCGGTCACACTATTAGATAGACTTTACCTCAGTGAATTTTTTAACTATACGAGCAATCATCTTACAGTTCATGAAAATGTCATGTACAAACCTTATTCTTAAGAGTCAAAACACATTGTAGCATTTAGGTACCGCAGAAAGCCGAAGAAAAATACCATTACAAAGTGTTCAAAGCTAATGATTATCCACTCAACTTTATCAAGAAGTGTTTATCAGCAGGATGAAAGATGTGGCAATTACCTAAAATCAGTAAGTGTATTACGCTACCCTACATCAGAGAACCTGTTTCAGAACCTGTTAACCGACTGCTTCGTTCAGTTGGGATTAAAGTGCCACACAAACCAACAAAATCACTGCACAACACCTTGTGCAAACCAAAGGATCTGTTGTCAAAGAAAGACAGGATAAAACTAGTCAACAAAACCAACTGTAAAGATCGCTCACAACACTATGTTGGCTAGTATAGTCGTCGGACTGCTCAAAGAATTTTTTGAACACCAACTAAAGCGACATGAGGCAGCCTCCTTGGATTCAATATACGCAGACAATCATGATCACGAATTCTTCTGGGAGAATGTCGACATCTTCCAAAGAGTGGGTCCAAAAGCTGCAAGGAGATTTCTATAAGCATGGAATACCATTGAGAAGTCAGTCAGTAGACCCGATTTACAATCTACTTAAGAGGAAAATAACCATTCACTAACCAAGGGCAAATTCATGAAACAAATCATTAATGATGCACATTGTGATAGTAACAAACAGCACAATTTCACTCTAACAAAGATTCTTTGCCAGTGTTGTCGAATAGAATCTAAGGTCAAAGAGGTCAAGATGTGATAAAAATCTCTTCTCAAACTTACTAGTGGATGGCACTCAAGATCAATAAAGACACTATCTAAACATTTGAATGTACTTCACTTCTTTTTGGAGTTAATGCCGAGGATGTCACCAATCCTGATGATAAAACACCCAAGATGAAATAAATAAATGTTCCACCGTCTTATGTGAGTAGTTGTGTGTGTGAAATTCAGGGAAATTGTTGTACTCGTTTTGAGGATCGATAATAAAGATGAAATGTTAGAACTAGTTAACTAGTCCATGATATAAAGGCAGTTATAACACTAGTTTTGTTTTGCAATGGGGTGAACCATTGAGTTGTATTTACCATTTCAAAGTAACTGAGCATATGATATAAGCCGCCAAGTTTTCAAAACACGTGATTATCAATACAACAAATCTGTAGTAATAAAGCAGTACTAACATTTGTATCATAGTTATTACCTAAATTGGATAAAAAAGACATTGCATATTAACCTAATTGTTGGAAACGGAAATCTTGTTACTTTCATGAAAAAATCCCTTTTAGAGTGAAATGTTTCAAAGGGAATATGAATTCTGTGTTTAAATTAATCACATCTGAAGTAGTCTATACTTGCTGAGTCGTCAGCTCACCTTTTTCTCTTCCTCTTTTCCCTTCCAGATTCTCGTGGCCATCAATAAATTCATACTGATCTACGCACCCCCTGAAACAGCGTACCTACCTACAGGCTAGACGAAAACACATCAACAACTGGTCGTTATAAGTACTTCTCTTCTAAAACAAAATCACAGATTATCATCAACTAGAAAACTGTTGAAAACTAGGTGGCACTAGAAAGCTATTATGTTTTCGTTTGAAACAAGTCATTGGCTCGTATTGCTCAGTGCATGTACAACTGGAAAATCAATACACCAGGAAGAGTAAATGCTCATCTGTTTAAACGTTGGTTATCTGTTGATAGTTGTAATTCCAAGTTGCTACACTGGATCAAATTGCAGGTAAGTCCAACTGAC